AAGAGTGGACCTGAGAGAATTCAGACTGTCTCACCTTTCTTTAGTGTATTTTGTCATGCACTTAACATTCTCATGGTCCTTCGATGATTTACGTCTTTTAGGGATTCTTGTAAGGTTCGGATTTGCCACATATCTGCCACCCTGCAGCCTCACTGACCCTGGAAATCCAAGTGCTGAACTAGACCACCAGATCTCTGAGAGGAGAGGTGGCCAGGGGCAGCAGCCTGCCCTGCACCCACCCCACGCACCTGCCGTCTTCACACGCTCGTGGTTAGAGTCAGGTCTGAATCGCTCTGGGTCACCTGTACTGCCTGCTTATTGTATACTATTAAATATTGACATTATGCACACTCAGTTTGAGTATTTGGCTTTAGTTTGTCATAAATATTACTTTATTTTATAAGAATTAGTGGTAAACTTACTGAATAGTAACAGAATTAATAGAATTCTTACCCTTTAAGAAACTTAATTTATTGAAGAAGACAGGACAAATACACAAGCCACTTATAAGAACAGGGAAACAGGCTTAACAGATACATGAAAGCAGATCTGATGAAAGATGTGCACCGTGAAGTGGTACTAAAGTGGTCAGAGGCCAGTCCACACTTACGTCACGTTTCCTTTGAGATTGACATCATTCTTTTTTAGCTCTTTACCAAAACTTTATAAATGGTAAAAACAATCTTTCCCTGATGTGTGTCTAGGTACTTTCTATAGTCCCTGACATCCTGAGCCCCCGGCCTCGCCCTAAACCGCCCACACAGAGTTCACGTTAACCGCGTCTGCGTCGGTCCAAGGCTCTTCACGCCTCTGCCTGCTGCAGCTTATCCTGCTTCTGAGTTAGGGAGCTACGTTTGTTGACTTTTCATCTAAAGAGAGAAGGCTTTACAAACGTTGCCTCTCGGATCATGAAGAGGATCATCTGCCAGCTTGTAATTAGGCTCGTGAGTTCCGTTTCCAGCGAGGCTAAGGGCTCTCAGGGTCTGTTGTCAGCATCAGACCACCAAGTTCTCGGGGCCCCAGGACACATCCCACACACGGTTGGAACACCCAGCTGAAAGGACACAATCCTATCCCTCCTTGCTGTTTAGTTAGGGCAGAGAAAAGGTTCCAAAATGAAGTATGGAGAAGTACACCTGTATTTTAGTTTTTATGAGAAACTATATGGTAGATTTCATACTTGGTTTTTTGCTCTGATTTTAATTTTTACAATTAAGCTGTGGGCCAGCAGTTGTTAGAGTGGTTAAGGCAGCTGGATCCCACTTGGCCGACTGTGCAGTTGAAGAACTAGACCCAGCAATCTGAGAAACACACTGAGCACGTGTGCTTGTGTGCCCAGAACCCTGAGAGGAGAGCGGAGAAGAGATCCAACCAAGCATGGCCATCCCCGAAGGCCGATTTCTGACTTTCCCTCTCTCTTCCTCAGCGAGCACACATGCCCTATGGCAAAAAAAAAAGAAAGATGAAGCTTAAAAGGTCATTTTTTACACGTTTAATAAAAATATCAAAACATCTTGCAATGAAGAGTAGTTTTTGTAAATATTTGCATTATAATTTAGTTAAATAAGTTATGATCCAGGTTTCACTTTGGGACTGAGCAAGAGCAAGCATGAGAAGGAAATGCGTTAGAAGATACAGGCCTTAAGAATGGAGAGGATGCTGGGTGGCACGGTGTGCTCATGAGCTACAGCGAGTCTGCGGGGGTGTAACGGGGCCTGCGGAGGGGTCGGCAGTCTGCGTAACGGGGCCTGCGGAGGGGTCGGCAGTCTGCGGGGGTGTAACGGGGTCTGTGGAGCGGTCAGCAGGCTATGGGGGTGTAACTGGGCCCTGTGGAGCGGGC